GCCCGAGCAAGAAACGGAAAACATGATTGAAGTTTTGATTTTGCAGTTAGGTAGAGAAGAGCAATCATTTCTGATCAAAACAAAACAAACCCGATCGAAAAATCTTTTGTTTTGATGGAGTTATAGGACTTTTATTGAAAGCGCCATCGCACGCAAATTTTAAAAATTAATTGAAAAATGCGTGAAAACCGACAGAAAAATTATTATTTCTCCACGGGTTTTGATGTGAAAAAATTTGAAGTGTAGCTAAAAGATAGAGCGAAGTCAGGACTACATAATGGCAGATTCTGGTTTTCTCACTTTCAAAATGTTAACACAAGAAATCATTTTTGAGTTGGAAAGTTTTGATTTTTTTCGTCTTTCGTATAATTTGCATAGTTTTCTTGATTGAAGTTCTGAAATTAAAGTTTAAGTATGGTTTTGTAGAGTATTTCGAGGCGCATCTTTTAAAAAGAAACACTAACCTTAGGGTCCTAAAGAAATACGAGAAAAATAGAAAATACTGAGAGGGTCATTTATTCTGCCGCACCCGTTAGTAAAAAATGTGGACTCATTTTTATTACTTAATTAATCTGAAAAAACGACAAGAAAAAGCCAAGCCGAATATGAATAATGGATTGCCAGTGAGTACTATGTATAATATTGGTATCACTTTTCCTTGTGTTCTTGCTATGTGTGAGATGAACGAGTTTGTTTGCGGGCGAAACTTTCGGCGCGCACTGATTTATAGAAAATCCGGCTCGATTATCAAGAACGTTGGAAAATCGACATCCATTTCCTATATGGTTGGGAATTATTTATAGAAAATACTCAGGGATTTTATATATGGATTTTTCGAAAATCAAAAAGTCGGATTATTTTCTACTTTCTAGAAAATCGCTGAGGATTTTCTAGATGAAGAGGGAGAACAATTCGAATGAGATTCCTGATAATCAGAGACTTGGGTGAAAATGGCTGAAGATAAACTTTTTCACCATTAATAAAACCCAGGACGTCGAAAACGGTGTAATTAGTTGCCAATTAAATCCCATTTAATACGCTGTTAATAAGCATTTAAATGGCATTTTTGTGACATTTGACCCCGTTTTTGCCATTATAACTGGGAACGTTTAAATGCATTTATTTCGCATTTTTTTAAATGTCAGAAAACGGTCAAATAACAGGCAGTAACCCTACTGGTCACATTTTTTTGCCATTTAAATATCAATTGTTAGACCGTTAGAAAATGTTAAAAAAATATCTTCTGAACCTGAGGTACTATCACCTGCATCGAGTCAAGAACCATAGACCACTTCTTCGAGGCAAGTTTCTATGACTCGTATAATTGAAGAAGAGAAACACTTTAAATTATTTTAGGAAAATCAGAGTCAGTTATACTATTCATGACGGCAGAATAAAACAGTGAATGACTTGGTGACCATAAATTGGCTGTTAAATGCCATTTTATGACCAGTTTTTTCCCATTTTGAAATGGAGAAAAAACGGACATTTAACGGCCACATTTATTTGGCATTAGTTAACGCGGCCTAATAAATGGATAAAAATGTCATTTAAACTTGTCCGTAAAATGACAATTTTTCAGACATTGCCTATAATCTGGCATTATTTTCACCGTTATTTCAAAGTCAAAAAATTTTCATTGTAATGGCTGTTAAATGACAATTTTCATTCGATTTTTACACAATTAACAGGCTATTTTTTGACATACAGTTAACAGACTGTTAATGGACAATTAAATGCCAGCTTTCGTCGACCTGGGAAGCTATTGAACTTCGAAGTTGAGTGAGTGTATTATTTCAGCTTATTGGATGACAATATGGATCTTTTACTAATGAAAACCAAATTCGCCATCGCTCACGTGTTGAACACAGTAAAAAATATTGTGTCGCATTTTGTGTCGCAGTAAAATGTGTCGCAGCTCCTGTGAGAAAATAGTGTCGCATAATTGTGTTGCCGTTACTAAGAACTTTCAGACACAGTTCTTGAGGTTATTTGAGGATCTGCTCTCTTCAAAAAATTGCTAAATTTTATGTTTTACTATTTTTAGCAGTCTTCATTAGTATTTTTCTCGGCTTCTTTTCAATTTTGATGTGCTATAGGTGGCGCCAATACGTAAAAGATAAGAAAATTTCCGAACTTTTTAAGTGTTTTCAGTTTCGAATTGGCGTTTTTAGTGGATAAAGATTCCTCTCTTGATCTTTTTTAACTATTTTCTACGTTAAACATTTTTTCTCTAATGAAAAAGAACCAATCAGAGGCCTTGACTACGCCATTAATCCCAGATCTCGGAAACTAAATTTTTTGAAGGCCTGTGAATATTACCGGCGGATTCAACTTGTTGACATAACGTAGATCACCTAAATGAACTAAAAATATTCTTAAAATCGAATAAGAGATCGAAAATACTTAATTTCTACTGTTTTCTCTATGGTAGAAATACCCAGCGGAATGTGTCGCAGTCAATGGAAAAAATGTGTCGCAAGTGGCTCCCGGTGTCGTAGATGATTGTGTCGCAGAATATGTCGCGACACATGTGACACATTGTTTTTAGTATGAACGCCTGTTATTTTATTTAAAAAATAAAGAAAATAAATGTGAATTGTTAGGATCATGTCTTTGAGTTAATGTAACCAAGTAGATTTTTGGAAGATGCTAAATTCAAACATAAAAATGAGGAATATTAGCAAGAGCAAATCGCTTTACGATCTTCAGAAAGTTGCGGTGGAACTCTACTGTGTCTTAACCAGGCAAACCAAGACCCTTTTCAGTACTTTGTGATCTCCAAGTATCATATGGCGACAATACTTCTCGAAGAATATGCTGATTTGCAAAAACTGAGAGAACTTTCCGAAGCTACTAACATTTCCGATGTTAAATACTAAAACGAGCAGAAATCTGTTACACGACAACTTGTTGCAATGCATAGGCTTTAATAGATGTGAAAGAAGCAAGAAAAAAATCACTGAGTCGTCTTTTTAGAAAATCGAATTCGATTTTCCAACTATTTAGAAAATCGCTGTCGAATTTCAAGAATGCTGGGAATTATTTATATGATTTTGCTAAAAATTAGAAAATCGCGGTCGATTTTCCAACTTTTTAGAAATTCTTTATCGATTTTCTGGCAAATGAGAAAAGTCAATTTATAGGAAATCGAGCGGAGTAGAAAATCAACATTTTCTAAACAGTCAGAAAATCGCTGATGATTTTATAAAAGTTGGAAAATTCTTGGTGATTTTCCAGATCGATTTTCTATAAAGTAGAAAATAATTCCAAATTACAGTGTAGTCTCCTCAGAGCTAACTCATTGTTTCGACATGAGTCAGCTTTGACTGGAGGAGCCCAGTGAATAGTAGGTATCTACGTAATGTTTAACACCGGCTAGTCAAGACGTGCGGTGCGATCATAAGACCGTTGCTGGGTGACATACATGTCATTATACACAAAAAGCAATGAAAAAAAGAAAACACTGTGTATTTCCTCAGATGGATTTGAAGCCGGTACTCAGCACAAAATCGTGAATTAATCGCGAGTAATCTGTACAATCGCTGAAAAATCGTCGATTTATTGCCGATTTTGACTATATGGGAAAACAATCGAAACAAAAGTACAGATCAAACCTTAATATTCAACGTGCTAGTATCGCAGAATCGCGCATGAAATAACTTTAAATATCCGTTTAATCATCCAGTTCAATCCGCCTATAGTATGGTAGTACCATATGGTAGATATACCTCTGGGTTGTTTGATATCCGAGTCTGTTCTGTCAAATCGAGGTCATTTATTGCGATATCATTTGGTAGTGTAACAGATATAAACCGTATTCTTGAATCAATATATGTGCTGCTAAAGGTTATAGTATGTAAAAACCAGACGTATACGTCTCGTATACGAACACACGATCAGTATAAGTCATGTTGATGTTAATTAGACATTAGAGTAGCATACGCCTCACCGCACTTTTACGAAAGAACAATGAAAAGCAGTTTGCATAAAATGTTCAGTTAATAATTCATACTTTCTTTTGTTGAACTCGTTCTTATTCACAATTGCGTTTCAAATGTCGCATGTCAGAAAAGAAGTAATTCGTGGAGGACTGTCAAGGCAACGACCACGACAATGAAAATGTGAATAAGTTGATTAAAATAGTTCTCTCCGTTCTCGCATACGTACCGTATACATAGTAAAAAGATTTCTTTAGATTTAGCAGGATAAGAAAGGTATACATTGTTTTAGATATTTAGACAATGAAAGCATCGATTTTGTGGTGTGATAAACCATCGGACGAAGAAGCAGAAGATCAAATGTAAATTTTGCTGATGTATAAATATCGGTGCAAGGAATACGCTTTCTAATATTTTTAGAATTAATTCTCTTTGTTTCAATCCCGATGGATCGCAACTTTTGGTCGCGTGTGGACAAAAAGTTCTTGTGTATGATACGATAGATGGTGCTCTCAAAAGCTCATTGAGTGGTTAGTAAACGTAAATAAGAACCAAAATGAATTGTTTAAATCATTTTAGAAGGACTTGCCTAGAACAATGAGCGCACCTAACTGTGTAAATAATGGTTATTGTTTTAGGTCATGCAGGAGCGGTACATTCGATATCGTATTCCGCTGACGGTACAAGATTTGCCTCAGGTATGTTTTAATATGTGATCGTGTTTCTAATATTTAATCTACCGATATACACTATGTTTTTAGGCGGTGCTGATAAACTTGTTGTGATATGGACACACGAATGTCAAGGGTTATTGAAATATGCGTAGGTTATTATCGATGCGTACCCCGAGCTGGATAGTGATCTTGTATTTATCTTAGGCACGATTATCCTGTTCAGTGTGTAGCTTATCATCCATCGTCTCATTTACTGGCTAGTTGTTCAAGCAGTGATTTTGGTACAGTAATTTTTCGGTAGTTGTTTATCAGTTGTCTTCAGTTTCATTACAAACTTATTTTTTCTTTTGTATGCACAGGTTTATGGTCGCCAGAACAAAAAAATGTGATAAAAACAAAACTAACTGGTCGTATCACATGTTGTGCTTGGAGTGCTGATGGACAATTATTGGCATTTGGATTATACAACGGGCAGTTAATTGTTCGAGATAAAGTAAAAACCAGCAAAATATTTTCTGTAATAAGAAATCAAATAATACCTACATAATTCATAGGATGGTAATGAAAAGTACAAATTTGAAAAGTCAGACTCGGCCAATTCACCCATATGGAGTTTACAATGGTGTCCAACCAGGCAAGTATATGGCAATAGAAAGAACTTAACATATTAGCAATAATTATAATCCCTTTGGTTTGTTTTCGTTTTTTTTGAGAGATGACGGTGAAATATTAGCAGCAATTGATTGGGGACAAAAACTGACACTCTATCAAGCTACGGGAGGAAAACAGGTACTTCTGTTTATTTTAATGACTGTCAGTACAGTATTTGATGATCTTTGTGATGTTAGACCGGAAAAGAACGAAGATTGGGTTATGATCCTTGTGCATTGAGCTGGTTTGTTAAAGATGCATTAAAGCATGAATCACGTGCAGAATTCCTACTTGTTGGAGGTGCAAATCGGGAATGCACAATATACAGTCGCGAAGGTTTTAAACTAGGAACGGTTGCTGTACAGGATTCATGGATTTGGTGCTGCTGTGCAAAACCAGATGGATCGGCGGTGGTACGTTACTAGTGCTTTTTTCAAGTAATTTCATAAAGCTAATAAAACACTTTCTTTTAGGCTATTGGGACCTATAATGGAATAGTTGGCTTGTACGACATCAAATTCGGTGTTGTACATGGTATTCACAAGGATAGGTATGCTTATAGAGACAATATGACAGATGTAATTGTACATCATCTTACAACAGATCAGAAAGGTACATATTCATGTTCTGAATCAAAGGCAAAGATAAAACTACCTCTTTTCTGCCATTTTCAGTAAAAGTAAAGTGTCGTGAATTAGTGCGAAAAATTGCGGTATACAAGACAATTCTTGCTGTGAGTAATATCCTTACTTTTAACTGCTTAAGTCAATCTGTTTTTTTTTCTATAATAAGATTCAAACATTAGACAAAATATTACTGTACGAAGCCCCCGGTGATGTTCAGCACGATATGAAGTATAAAGCAACACAAAAAATAAATAAAAATATCGAATGTAGTTCAATGCTGGTCACATCATCTCAAATTATCACGTGTCAGGTAGGTAATTATACAGACTCTACTATTCTAATTTTCTGGTAATCTCCTTCCACTGTACGATATAAAGACCTAATGTGCTAGTTCATAACATTGTAGGATAAACGCTTGCAATGTTTTAATTTTACTGGAGAAGAAATTCGTGTGTGGCAAATGGATAGTCCTATACGATATATGAAATTAGTTGGCGGACCACCTCAACATGAAGCTATATTACTAGGATTAAAAAATGGCGGTGTAAGTAGCTCCCAATTCTTATATTCTATTTTCTTAGCAAGAATTTAAATTATTTTTAAGGTCTATCAAGTTTTTGTGAATAATGCCTTTCCCCAATTATTGGCGAAACAATCGAGTACAATCTTTTGTATTGATATGAATGTCAATCGCACAAAAATAGCTGTGATTGACGACACAAATACGTTGTATGTCTATGATGTATGGACAAAAGAACTTTTATATCAGGTAGAGCTCAAGATTTATCGACGTTATACCTACAGAAAGACTAAACATTTTTTATTTTTAAAAGGAACCAAATGCTCACACTGTGGCATGGAATGGTTATTTTGCCGATATGTTGGCATTTTCGGGCGAAGGGCAAATAAGCATTAAAGTGGCAGATTTTCCTGTTTATAAACAACATCTACAGGTACGTAATAACCTTTCCATATAGGTCTAACATTACTTGAACTACTTTCGTATGCAGTTACCTGTACGAGATGCTGAACTATTGGTCAGTATTGAACTTGAATTTGATAATAACATAAACAAGTGTGGTCGTTTGTTTTACTTTCCCTTAATACTCAAAGTTTATATATATGTGTGTGTGTGTGTGTGTCTATTATTTTCTCTCATTTGGTTTAGCGTATTGTTACTAATCATATAACACACTTCTTTTATACTGGAAACCTACAAACATTACAGAAGGTAGAACCATGCTATTTTAACATTACCAATCATATAAACTAGATTTGCATGCTCAAACGCTCTTTATCTTACAGTTGATTTTTGATCGATACGTAGTTTACACCAATATTTTTTGCATGAGAAAAATAAAAGAAAAAATGCAAATTAAAGTTTTTTAGCTGTATCAGTTTGATTTTTATGACAACCTTTCAGGCATACTAATCATATAGCTTAAATGTTCTCATTACTTCTGGTTTAGACTAGCATACTTTTATTAAAACCCTAGGGGAAAAAGGCGGCTCCGGGAGCTTTCCGGACCCCATGAAATGCTTTCCGGAGCTTGAGATGCTTGGCATCGGATGTTCTCCGATGCTATGCGATGCTGACTTCGATGCTGAGTGATGCTCTCCGATGCTTTCCGGAGCTTGAGATGCTTGGTATCGGATACTCTCCGATGCTAAGAAAGAAAAAGTCGCCTTTTCCCCCTTGTTAAAACCCCTAACTGCTTTTCGGCACTAATAAGATATTAATTTTAACTGATAAGAATACAATTTTAAAAGCGATATCTGACTATCTAACTATAACACACTTGTTCTCTATTTAGGGTTTAATTGTTGGTTTTAATGGTTGTACAATATATTTATTACATTTATATGCAATGAGTGGTGTCACTGTGCCCGTAACCGATGCTGTTTATCGATATATAAATAAGAAACAACTAGAGTAATTATTCTTTATTTATAAATACTTTTCACCACAGATTGTTTATTTCAGTAATGCATATCGTCTTGCATGTTTGGGTGAATCAAGTCAAACATGGGAAGCATTGGGTCACGCGGCAATAGAGCAGAATGATTATGTAATAGCAAAAAAATGTTTTAGTCGTGTGAGAGATATGAAATATTGTAATTTATTATCGACGTATGAGGTATGTAAATTAAATAAGTTATTTAAAAAAGATTGAAATACTTGAATTGTCTATTCAGGAAGTTGCAAAACGTGGGGAAACAAAGCCAAATATCAATCTGGGCGATTATTATGCATATGCTGGACGTTTTCAAGAAGCCGCTCGAAATTATCAGCATGGTGGAGCTCCTGACCGCGCGATGACTATGTTCTCGGATTTGAGAATGTTTGACCAAGCGAAAGTGGGTAATCGTTTGTAGCGCTAGTAAGAAGGCTAATGAAAGATTTTTTATTAGGAATATATGGTTGCGGGTGATGTAGATCAACAAAAACTTTTAAATAAGCAAGCTGAATGGGCAATGACAATGAATGAACAACGTACTGCGGCCGAATTATATCTGGCAGCACACGATTACCTACGGGCAATCGATTTAGCAGGAAAAAATAAATGGTCGGATTTGTAAGTATTATTGCCCGATCTGGATAGATAAGAACACGAGCAGCTATTGATGTACGGGTTTCACCAGTCGAAATAGAAGACCGAGGCACATCGTTGTATGTAAGAAGAAGGAGGAGGCAGGAAGTGCAGGAGAAGATCTTTTGTAAGACATCAATCAGACATTCTGTATTATGAGTCTAAAGCCTGACAGCAACATCGGAAAAGAAAGAGAAGGACTGAAGTGGCGTAAAGTTGCAGAAATATGTTCGGGCTATTGGATGAATACCTGGAAGTTGAAATTCCATCAAGCCTTCAGTTTCTACTGAAAATGTTTTAGTAAAACTCTTCTAGAAAAGTTTTCCTTTTGAAAATTTTGATTCTTACATAGATCGATGTACCTCGGTGTCCTCTTTCGACTGGTCAAATCAAAAAAACATCGATAGCTGCTTGCATTCTGCAGCTATTCGCGTTGGAGTCGCGTCTATTATATTTTGAAATGGATAGGAGTAACGACGCTGTTGTTTTCAGACTGGCAAGCATTACGAGTAAACTGGATAAAGCTCAGCACGATCTATTAAAACGTTGTGCTCGTTATTTTGTTGAAATGAAACAATATACGTATGCAGCTGATGTTTATGAGAAAATGGGCGATATTAAATCGTTACTTGATATGCGTATCATACTAAATCAGTGGGATGAAGTATTTTCTCTAGCGAAACGTTATCCGTTATATCACAGTGATGCTTACTATAATTATGGTCAATATTTAGCTGAAAATGATCGATTTGTTGATGCTCAGCGTGCATTTTATAAAGCTGGACGTATCATAGAAGCAAGAAATGTTCTACAAGCGTTAACTGATAACGCTGTTAACGAAACACGTTTCAAGGATGCGGGCTATTACAACTGGCTCCTGTCTAAAGAATATCTATTGGCATTGAGTGAAACCCCGAATGATGATTTAAGAGAACAACTATTTAAAAAATATAATCAATGCCTAATACTATCCGAACTGTATTACGCCTATCAAAATTTATACGAGTATACAACGGAACCGTTTGTTGACACACCATCGCAAATTTTGTTTAATATCGCACGTTTCATCTATCATAAATTAACAAATCTAAAAGAAATTCCACCAGGCATATCAAAATTTCGTACATGTTATACGGCATGTAAAATTGCCAATAAACTAAACGCAAATAAATTTAGTCGACAAATGATTGAGTTAATGAAAGATTTAACTTTTACACATAATCTAGGACAAAAAAGGACAGAAATTGAGCAGTTGGCATTAGAATTAAGAGCCAAAACATTTAGTGATGATTCCGAGTTGTTACCATTATGCTATCGTTGCAGGTAAGACATTTAATGACATGTTATTCACTCTTTTACATCGTTTTTCATTTAGTCATCACAGTGAATTACTCAATCCACATGGTAACGAGTGTTCAAATTGCGGTAGTCCTTTTGTAAGTAAATTCATGTGTGCAGATTTAGAGTTGTATTTGTCATTTTATCATCATCTTCCTTTGAGGTGCTATCATTTTTGTCATTCGATGTTTTGCCATTAGTTGAATTTGTCTTACCCCATGATATCAACGATGAAGATGCCTATAATTTACTTGAACAAATTCCAAATAGCCAGTTAGAAGCCAAGCCGGGTGGTCAAACATTAAACGCTTCAACAGCAAATCGATTGATTATCAATGAACAATTTCAACGAGAAGAGAAAGATCCATTTTTGAAGAAAATGACTAAATATAGTGCAAATCCCAATGAGTATCGTCCAGTGGTCGTTGATAGATCACTATTGAAAGCCATGGATCCGTCATTGGTTTTTGTTTGTAAATGGCCCTTTCCATTACGGTGGAAATGGTATAGAATTATTGTACCAGAAACGCAAATTGGTCGATGTCGACATTGCAATAAAGTATAATGAAACGCGTGTTTCTGAATTAATTAGATATATAATTTCTCTCTAATTTTTAGTTTTTTCATAATGATGAATTTGAATTAGCAATATTAGAAACTGGTGGTTGTCCATTTTGTCGTAACAAAAAAGAAGGTGATCTAACAGGTATTTAACGCATATTATCACAAAAAAAGTTATTGTTCATACTTTTACTCGTTTAATATTGTCACTGAAGTTGGTCTTCGAACGAAGTCAAACAGACTGGTCAATAATCCATTGAAACCTAACGCTTATTTGTTGCGTCAGGCTGTTCTATCTATATTTTATTAGTTTTTAACAGGCTAAAAAACAAAACAAAAATTTAAGTATTCGGTTTTGAACTCAACATAGTCTATGTCAAACGCATTTGTGAGCAGTGAGATTTCTTTAAATCTCTACACTAAATTGCCCTTCGTTTACTGGCTGATATTAGAAGAAACATGCTTCTTTTTCACTATTTTTGTATCGCTTTGTATCCAGATGTACAGTGAATAGCAAAATTGATCATGAATCCTCGTATAAACTGATGGTTAATATTTCTCTGAAACAAAACCACCTGCAAGTTTGGGAGTTTCACTAAAATGTTGCAAATTTATTGTAGTTTATGCACTCAAAATAGTGAGTGTTGTGTCATACAGTCATTTCTTAGTTCAGGAAGAGTGGAATAAAAGACATTCTTCTTCTATGAAAATCGATCACACAGTTCATCATCTGCTTAAAAATACATTTGATACTTCTACATTTACTTTGATCACTGTTCGTAGTATCAATCTTCTTTGTATAACAATGGCATCGGGAAGAAAAGAATGTACAGAAGATTTTTAAAATTTGGTTATTCAACGGCGTTTAGAAGGTGATTCGTGAGTTGAAATTGCCATGGTTATGTATACTCTGCGAGCCACAGCTCAACCTACTATGAGAAATATAAAGAATAAAAACTGATCAGTAGTTTATCTGGTCATGACGAAAAAGAAAAACTGCAAAAAAAGTGAATGAGTTAATTCGCTGAACAATGCTGCTGAATCGAAAAAAATCAGCGGTGATGATGAAATCAGAGTTAGAGAATCAATTAGATATTAGTATTTCGGACCAAACGGTTAGACAAGGAATAGAACAGTATGGTTATTTTGGACAGATAGCTAGGAAAAATAGTTAGTAAATGAGCTTAACTGCTTTGATGAATTCAAATGCAATATCGTCGGCTTAGTTGGTAGCACAATGATGTGGCGAGAACCTAGCGAACAACTTATACCAGCTTGCGTACTACTAACAGTACTATGTCGTGCTGGAAATGTCAAAGTTCGGGATTGTTTTAACCATAGCGGAGTTCGCATTTTGTTTTTTATTGATGAAATTCTAACGGGTCAAAGGAATAAGGATATATTAGAAGAGAATCTATTTGAATCAGCGGAAAAAATGGGTTTAGGAAAAAATTCATCTTTCAACCTGATAAGGATCCAAAACTTACTATGGGTATTGTGACAATAAAGTTACCCTAGTGAATGTGCCAAAATCGGGCACCTTTTGGGTACCCTGCCACAGTAATGTCATTGGTAACCTTCCAAGTCTTTTTTTAGGTACTAGCCTAAAGGCGAAAAAGCGTTTTGGAATGGTACGGAATGCGCCAATCCATACCATTCCGCCTTTCCCCCCTTGTACTAGCCTCACCCAAGCATTAAAGTACCTAACAAGTATAAGTGAATATGCAGCAAAGATTTATCACACAAAGACAATCCTTGTACAGACAATAGACAGAACTGAACAAATTTCACTTGTGTAGTAAAATACTGCAAAAGTAAACTTTGACGTTCTGTCATATATCATGTACAACAACTGAAGTTGTGCAATACTTTAACGGTCAGTATCACTCTTAACGAGTAGTATACAGCCGACCTCTATTTATACGAGGATTTTTATTTCTTTTACGCCCATAGTGCTACGATGATAGATAAACTCATAGATAGTTTTTACTTGGGCTAGATGATTCATCAATGTATGAGTGAATTTGTTTGGTTCTGTCTATTGTCTGTACAAGGATTGTCTTTGTGTGATAAACCTTTGCTGCATATTTACTCATACTGATGAATTATCTAGGCCAAGTAAAAACTATCTATTAGTTTACCTAACAAGTAATTTAAAATACCCATCCAAGTAATATCATAGGTACTTAGATATACTTGGCTTGCAGCGCCTGAAGGTCTTAAGTACACGACTTCAAGTACATTCACTAGGGTAGATGATAAGCGGATTAAAAGACTGATTTATCCACCGAGTAGTCCTGATTCAAACCCAATACGTGTGGAATGAATTAGGTCACGTATAGAAAACATACTCACCCAAAGAATGCAAAAGAAGTGAAAGAAAGATTGTTGGAAGAATAGGAAGCAATTGGAACTGATTTGAGAGAAGTATTCGTTGATACAGTTGAAGAGAGGCTTGAAGAATATATAAGACAACCTGGATATTCTGTTCGTTACTGACTGTGTTATGAGGAAAGAAAATGTTTTACTTTTCGACAAAAGACAACATTTTAGCGAAACTCCCAAACTTGCAGGTGGTTTTGTTTCAGAGGAATATTAACCATCAGTTTATACGAGGATTCATGATCAGTTTTGCTATTTACTGTATAACATTAAGATTATTGGATTGTCGGAATATCTGAATTTCAGAATATTTCGTCAAGTATTTGAGTGTATGCCAGAATAAATGACGTTCTTTCTTTTTGTTTAGAGAACATCGATGACTATTGAAATGGTTGTTGTCCGAGTCAATAGAAATCACTTTTATCGCTGAAATGTTAGAACTGATTTGTTTATGCAACAAGTGTAACTTTTAATTTACGTATCAGAAAACCTTTTTGTGTAAGTTAACTCATGTCAACTCTTTTTATCATGTTGATATTTCGCACTATATCTGACTCATACTTTGTTTGTAAAACTTGTCAATGTTTTCATCTATTTTACTCAAATGTACAGCTTTTATTAGATAATCTTTACGTACATGCAGACCTTTTTGATTTTGCTTTCGAAAATTTTGTGACATTCACTTGTTTCTTCTTTTTTTTATGTTATGTGTTAATAATACATACACGATTGTTAACGTGCATTTTGACTTTTTTAGTAAAATTTACAAATTGTTTCCAAAATAATTCTAACATTTTGGAACAGATTTGCTGTGTACGAGAAGAAAGTTAGAAACAGTTATTCATTCAACTGTTACCACAT